CCTGGTGCTTTGTATCAGTCAAGCTCTGGTCCTGAAAATAAACCAGTCTGTGAGCCCGTGGTTATTTCTCTACTCAGGGGACCCTGGAGCGCCCCCCTCAGCCGGCCGCCAGCAAAGCGCTGTGCAGGAGGTGGCAGACGCAGGAGCAGGCGATGCCCTGGTTGGCTTCTCACCCACTGGGTGGGGGCGGTCACAGCACAGCAACAGCCTCAGGCTCTGGGTCCTCGCTGTCCTCTGGCCCTGAGGAACCAGGGTGGTTTTCCTGCCCTGCTTGTGGCCTCCCACCACAACTTAGGCTTTCTGGAGACCTCGTGACAGCTGTGACCCGGCCACACATATGACCATCTCACTTTCCACCTGACATCTGCCATATGCTTTTACCAAAGATGATGTTACCATCTTCACTGGCTTTTCATGACGTTCTTTAATTCCTTAAGTACTACATAAAAATACGTGCTTTTCTGAAACTGTTTTAGCAATGAGTAGCTTTTATTTTCTTTCTTTTTCTGCTTCAGTACATGAAAAATAGACCTTCAAGTAAAATTTAGGATTTCAAAATGACCCTTCCCTACACATCCTAAACCAGGCCACTGGCCCAGAGAGGAGCTGATTTCCCCTGGCTTCTCCACAGCCTCTCACACTGGACAGTTCAAGCATCTGAAACCCCATTTATTCAAAACTTTCGGATACATTTTGGACATATACAAGTTATCCAGCCTCAAGGAGTTTTGAGAGACCATTTGTTGCCTGATCAGTTTCAACACTATTGAAAGAAGGGAGCCAGAGGCAGAGAGAATGAGGTGGAGAAGTGCTGACTTGTGGTGTCCCCATGCTGCCATGGAGGCCTGGTGCGGTTCAGGGGCCGTGACCGAGGCCAGCTTCCCAACACCCAGCTGCAGGAATGAGCAACAGTTCCACAAACTTCACCTCCTAAGCCTCTGACTGGGCTCGGGCAGCCCCAGCTTCTCTGCCCTTCACCAGTCACTCCTTCTGCATCAACCCCCACTCTGGCTCCTTCTCATAAACAGCTAAGCACACTCCACACTTGCCCACCGTCAAGCAAAGGTGGGAAGGCTCCTGATGTCATATCATCCTCTAGCTACCACCTTCCCCGGGTCTCCCTTCCTCAAAGGCCATCCATACTCTGCTCTCGCTGTCACCATCCACTTGCTCCTCAAGTCCACTCTGGTCTTGCTTCTGGGCCTTCTCTGCCCCTCCTCAATCCGCAACAATCCATGGGACTCAGCTGCGGGTCTGGCGTGTCACACATCTCTCCCGATTCTGCAGCCTCTCCCCGGGTGAGCCCCGCTGGGCCTAGTCCTTGTCACATGATCACCCTGAGACTTCTCTGCAGACCTTCAGAATTAGGACTCTACTTGGATTCATACAAGTCCCAAACTGGTCCTGCTTGTCCCCAAACTCCCTGGCTGCCTGTGTTACTATCTCCACAGAGAACCTCAGTGTCTACCCAGTTGCCCAGGAAGACATCCTTATGTCGTTCTCATCTTTCCTTTTCCTCACCTCTGCACCCAACTCCCAACTTGCCATCCTCTCTTCTGTCCAAGAGTATGTACCGGGGTTCCCATCCACCTACTTCCATTTCCTTCCTTCCACGGCCAGGTGTGGGCCTCCTACCTGCGCACTAATACGGCGCCTCTAAACTCAGCCACTGCCTCGAGGCCTGTCCCCTCCAATTACTTCCTTGCTCTATATATCACCTGAACTTTTGAAAATACAAATTCAACTAAGAACCTCTTTTCCTTCAAATCCTTTACTGAACTACCCCCCACCAAAAAAAAAAAATAGCCAAACTCAGTACTGGGCCCCAGTCATCTGCCTGTCTTCACCTCTGACCTCTTGCTTTATACAGCCCCGCTTCCTCCTGAGCCCTAAACTTCTGGTGCCTTGGACAGTAGGAGATGGTCAGTAAATATCTGTGGAACTAATGAGTAAATAAAAGAACACTGGCCAGGAAAAGTTTCACCAAGGAGCTACGTGAACTGAATTTTGAAGGACGAGTAATTCTTTTACAAAAAAAACCAAAACAACAACAAAAAAACTGAAGGGGAGTGTAGGATGTTGGAAATATGGAAAAGGGAGCTCACAGGCGTAATGGCACAAAGTCACATTATCCTGTACGTATAGCATTGTAGCCTCCAGTTGTAAGCACTTGCTTAAAAGCTAAAAGGTGTATGTAAAAGGTAGGACGTATATCCTAGGAAATACACAGAAATATACCCCAAAATGATCCTCCTCTTAGGCATCGCAAAATCCAGAGTGAGCGGGAAATCAAAGGTTAAATACCATGCATGCATGGGGGCTACAGCGTGAAGTGCTCTGCGGCACTGCAATCGTCCAGAAGTGAACCGTCAACCCACGATGAAACAGCACCTGCAACACAGTCGTTATGCCGTGCACTGCCCGGCGGCATCACAAGCACCAGACTCACCCTGATCTCTGACAGTAGGGACTGTGAGCCCCAGTCACACCCAGATCTGAGCACGTGGCTACAGGACTCAAGGGGGTGGAGGGTTCAGGGGAGACTACAGACTACAGAAATAGGAACAATAAATCAAGAAGTTTAGCAAATAATCCCCAGCCCCTACCCAGAGAAGCTTCCCTGATCCAGAGAGAAGGGAGATCATTAAATTAAATTTTTATAAATGAACCTCTGGCTTCTTTTACTTCAAGCCCATTTTGAAGCAGTTGTGCAGCTCAGGGCCAGCAGCCCATCTGGTGCTTGACCTGCAGGGCTGGGGGGTCACACTGCTTAGCCCACTCTGTGCAGGGAGAGATTAATCCCACAGCCCACACGGCAAGCAGGCAGGAGGGCCTCAACACGATGCGCACAGGGCTCCCTCGTCCTCTGTACTTCTGCCCTGGCATTCCTGCAGCTGGCCACCAAAACATATCCCGCCCTTTGGTCTGGATGTTGACTTAATATGGAACTCCAGATGAAAATATGGGGAAATACCTCTTCTCACTCTGCCCTCTGCGCCATTCCCCTTGAACTCTTGATCTCAGGGCCAGACCTCTGGGGAATGAGAGGCTTATCTGAAAAGAGTCCAGAGGCCAGAACAAAGAGCTGACTCCCACCTTCTCACCCTCTCCCCAAGGGCTCTTAGAGGGAGCCTGCAGGCTGGGTAATTACCAGGCGAGCTAGCTCAAGCCCCTTGCCCTGCTCACCTTCCACTAAAATGCATGGTACAGCATGATCATGAAATGTGCTTATTAATTTCATCCATTTGACACTGCGCTCTTCTGCCCTGAGCTCGATGTTAGGAGAAAATGATAGGGATAGATTGTGCTCTTGTCAGGCTTAGCAAGACTTTCAGAAAACCAAACTGCCAAAGGGCATCTGCCGCCCACTAGCCAAGTACTCGCAGTGACCCCAAAGGAACAAACAGAATGTTACAGATACAGATTGGCGCGAGGACCGCAGGGAGAGTCGAGACCCAGACCCAGGGCTGGAGCTCCCTCTAAACCTCCCAAGAGAGGGACCCTGGCGCCTGCTCTCCTACAGACCATGAGCCAGCCCCGCCTTGATTCACAGTGCACTGCGTCAGACCTCATTCATCAAAAGACACTTTGGCTTCTCAAATCAGGAACGTTTTTATTAGCTTCCCCCAAGGGTTTTATGGCACAACGCCACAGCTAATGATTCTATTTTATGGAAAGTTATACATTCCAACGGGGCTTTGAAGACAGGCAGCAGGTAAGACTCAGATCTTTGTCAAAAAAGATTCCTTCGTTCTTTCAGTTTTAAAATGTTTATAGGCTTTCAAACCATTGGGAAAGTGATGGGCAACACTTGAACAGGCTCCTCGGTGTACACCCAGGAACCAGCCCTGAAGGGCCCAAGAAAGCACCTGCCTTGACTGCAGTGACTTCCAGTGGGGGCGGATTGTGCCCACTCACCCTTTCCTCTTGGGGACACTGGGAAATGTCTGGAGACATATCTGACTGCCGTCTCCGAAGGAGAAAGAGCAGCTGCTATTGGCATTGACTGGATAGAGGCCAAGAACACTGCTAAACGCCATTAGATGCACAAGAGCAGCCCACAGCAAAGAATTATCTGATTATCTGGCTCCAAATGTCAACAGTGCGGAGGTTGAGAATCCCTACCTTGGGGCTTCTCTAAGACCAAGCATCCGGGCCTTTCTACCCCAGGAACAGCAGACACTAATCTAGTCACTATTTTTATGTATTCTTGGTGCACATTTTCAAAGAACAAGGATAAAATGTTGTCATAAACAAAATGAGAAAAGTAAAAATAAGATCACCTTAGAATCTCAAAACACATGATGATAGTCATTACTATACCCTCCTAAGGTCACTCTGCACTTTTTAAGCTCTGCCTAAATTGGAACTTATCTATTGAAACAACAAAATAACTAGTCCCAATCCACACGACTACTGAACACAGCACAAATGTCTGCTGAAAAGCAAGGAAGCTCTCTGCGAGACTGTTATGCTGTGGTTTGTCACGCACCTCACCTGGGAGGAGGTCTGGTCCTGATTAATGTACCCAAGGACTGGGCTTCTGTCACGTCACATCTCTGGGCTTGGGTTCTCCCAGTTGGCAAAGTGGAGATAAAGCTACTTGCCCTCCAGGCTTCTAGGGACTCTAAGTGAGTTCACTGGGCAGAATCTTTCCCAGGGTCCTGGATCCTTTTCACGAAATGTGACAACTAGAGGTGACTTTGGAAGTCAATGAATCCAACCTCTTAATTTTATAGAAGGTGAAAATGATCATCACAGGAGGTTAAATGGCTCAACCACACCCCAAGCCAGGAAACGGCCCTGATGAGCTCGGGTCTTCTGACTCCCCAGCCAGGACATTGGCCATGGCCTCTCACCAGCAATGACCTCCCCGAGCTGATTATCTTAAGTCTCTACGGGGAAGAACACCTTACACACAGGTCAGAGACTCCTGGATACAAGAAGTGAATATGTGTACAGTCAGTGAGCAAAATGTACAAACTAGTGTCCTGACTTACTACATCATAGCCCGTTGGGGCTCGGTTCCGGGAAGCCACCACCCCGACTCCCGTGATGGGGTCCATCGACATCTCTGGCAAGGCTTCCGAAAGGTCTTTAACTTCAGGCATGGTGGATTGTTCCTGGTTCAGAAAAGGAAAAAGAAAGCACAACATTCAAATAATGTTCCACGTGAGCAATACACACAGACAGAACCAGAATCTTGGGGCAAATGGTCCTTTCCTCAGATCAAGTATTCCAATCACCTCTACTCTGACCGTTGTTCTTCTCAAGTGAGCTTTGGACAATCCTTGATCTCAGGAGGTATTTTGATGCAAGCCCCAAAACATGTCATTCTTAACTCTATCACCAGTTACCTGATTTCTGAATAGATACCCGTAGCTCCTCTGAGGATAAATCAAACATAGCTAAGTCTAACACAGCTTCTGTTTCTCTCCTTTTACGATCCGGCCTAATAGAGGCACAGGCTTCCAAACTAGAGCCTCTACCGCGCTGAGATTGGACTTTCTGCAGGCAGAGGTCTGCAAGCACACAAGGAGCTTTGCAAACATGGAGAAGAAAAGTGTTTTGGGCATGGGGCAAAGGAAGAGTCTAGGCTCCATGATGTACAAGCTGGTGACTTTAAGCAAGAAATTGAACCTCTTAGAAACTCAATTTTCTCACCTATAAAGTGAGGCGATGATTCCAACACCCTCAGAGCTGACACAAGAACTAAAGGAGCCATGTAAATGAGAAGCCTAGAGAGGTCGCACAGGTCACAAGGGCACCTACTCAGAGCTAAATACAAACAATGACCCTAACTTTTGCCGAGCGCTTTGGTTGAAAGGGGGTGAGCGGGTGGAATTATTATTCTGCTGCTGCAGCCTCTTGACAGGACTAGAGGAGACAGGTGCAATATGGACAGCACTGGGCCTGGCCAGCCCGAGTGGCCATGCCACCAGGAAGCAAATAAAAAAGGCAACACCTTATGTAAATGCTTTAAGTACTTTTACAAGGACAAGCAGTGAAAAAGAGCAAGTTAAATTCCACCTCCTTCTGCAGCAATTAAACTCCGCTGGCTGTAGGTCTGCCAGCTCTCTCAGGGCTGGTTACTGCTTTGAAAGCAAACCAGACACCCTAAGGAGGCAGGCAGGCAGGCAGGCAAGCAGGAGGAGCATTCTTACCTCTCAGCCTAGAATCACAAAAGGTAGAGGACACTAAAAATGACTGCAGCCTCCTAAATAGGGACAATCAAAATGCCGCATGCAAGCCACCCATGTACTCAGCAGAACCCACAAAAGGCTCTGGAAACAGGCTCGTCAGTGCAACGGAGCCAAGTCCCCAATATGCTAGGAGGTGCCTGGCACAGCTGCGCTCTCAGCTTCTGTTTATGACAAAAGAGAAACTAAGCAGGCTTTACTTCTACTGAAAACAAGCCTATAGAGGGCCAGGGCAGGGGGTGGAGACCACACCGAATCACTGTATCATTTCCTATTTTCCAATTTCATTCACCAGCCAGGCTTATCTTCATAAAGCACGGGGCTTAGTGCTTCCTGCACCCAGTAGGCAGTGAGTAAATATTTATCGAGTGATGGCGTATGCATGCCCCCAATATAGGTTTCCAGTTAAATATCTGCACCTGCCTGATCTAAAGCACGCGCCGACCAAAAAGTGTCTGCACTTGAAAAATCCTGTATTATTGGGAACATGAACGTAATGTTGCTGCAGTTTGCAAAATATTGGTACCTGCTGCTGGTTACCAAAAATGCTTTGCAATTAACAACTCATTAACAGAATGTACGGATTCTGCCAGTGCTAAATATCATGCTGTGAATTTAATAAAGAACATGTGAGGTGAAGTTTTTTTTTTTTTTAAAGATAGTATTGCCTTTACCATCAGAGAGAGAGAGATAGGGGAAGAGAAAGAAAAAGCTGAGAAAAAAGAGAAAAGGAGGGAGGGAGAAGAGGAAGGGAAGAGAGAAAGGGAGAGAGAAGGCAAGCCTAAGTAAGAAATATCGTATTTGCTGATGGATTCCTGTCCTCCGGTCACATGTGCTCGGCCAGGCACCGAGATGCTCTGCCGCACACTACCAATTGCAGGAGGGCAAATCGCTCTCAAGGAGAAGATGCTCGGGGATGCTCCTGCGGAGGCGGCCCAGCAGCAGCTCCCAAGATGGCTGCAGGCGGCCTCCAGCTGAGGCAGACAAAGAGCCGGGCGGCAGTGCAGGCGCCCAGCCTGCCCAGCAGCCAGGGGCCGGCAGAGCGCAGCGCATCTCCACGCGCACCCGCCCCTTCCCCTTCCCCCTTCCCTCTTCCCCCAGTTGCGGTGCCCTGGGGATGAGGCAGCCTTTGTGAAACAGAGACAAATGGCTGCTCTCCGTGCGGGGCTGCGGCCCACTCCACTGCGGCGGAGGGAGCCCCACCACCAGCCAAGGAAGCTTTTAATGAGAAACGCCCAAGATATCCATGGCAGAGGCCATCGCTCAAAGCTGCTTGCCCTGAATTACATATTTTCTGACTGCAAATTACTTTTAACAGCGTCTCCACCGTCACTTCAATTGACCTTCCTAACAAAAGGCCATTTATTAACTAGCACTCTGCATTTCCACCGGCTGCTTGGAGCCTGGAGCCAGAAGGGATGGCACCGCGCATCCTCAGCCGCCCAGGGTTGCGGGCCAGGCCTCTGCCAAGGGGAGGAAGAGGCCAGGAGTGTGAGCCCAGAGAGCAAATCTGAGTAGGGCAGGGAGGGCAAGGGAGTGAGGTGCTTAAGGCCAACATTAACCTGAGGTGACTATGCTACAACATAACTTCGGAGGCCCCCGTAGAGTAAGGCCTGCTCCCGTCTCAGCAGGAGATGGAATCCCCTTCCTGGTCTGCCTGCATCTGCAACTCCACATCCTAACTGCATGCAACATGCAAATACATCTCTGTTGCATTTGTACAGCGCTTTGCAAAAGTTAAAAAGCTTCCTTAGGCTCCTTCTCAGTTAACGCGCACGCTGGACTTAGCAGGTGGGCCATGTTATCCCAATTTTACGGGAGAGGAAACTAAGGTCCCGGTTCTCAGACACCATGTGGCTGCAGCCAGCAGAGGTGCACCTCTCCCCAGTCGGGTCCGCTTTGCATTACTCTGTGCTCACAGCCCAACATCCCACCCAATCGAGAAAGCAGTTTCAACACTAATTATATTTTAAAATGCCAAAGCTCTTTTTTCTCTGGCCACAGCTCAATAAGTCAAACAAGGGCAGAAAAGTACAGAAAGATAAAAGTAACATGGGATTAATTTCCCTTGCACCTCAGTTTCAAGATTCAACAGTCCCCTCATAAATAATTTACAACAATAAAAATGAGCTAAGGCCATGTTTGTGTAGGATGGAGGTAAATTCAGGCCTAATGAGGGAGATCCGAGCACAGCACGGGAGGGAACAGGTTGATCTATGGCCTGGTACATGCAGGATCGACGGCACACAGGGGCTCCATTACCCACCGCGAGTCCTGGGGCCAACCAGAGGAGGGGAGCCAAATGGGGAAACCTGTGCCATCCAGCTGTGGCTGCAAGGAGGGTCTCTACAGGGAAAGCCAAGTACGGACCCCATGTTTGGGTGGCGAGATAGCAGATGTTGAGATTTTTTTAAGAGCTTTAACATTTAGCCCATCTGAAATCAAGTTGGTTCTCCACACAGGCCAGCTAAAGAAGGAAGGTACTGGGCACCTGTGAGTCATGTCTGCTCTTGGGCATGGGCACAATGACCTTGGGCTATCCTAATTTAGCCTCTCGAGTTATCTAGTCTCAATTCCCCTGGGCAGGCCTATAGCCTAGATCATTCCAAGGCCTGACTTCAGGCAGCTGTTCTTGGGCCTGCCCGAGACCTTCCTCCCCAAGGCATGTCTGTGCTGCCATGTGTGTACACGCATATGCACTGTGTGTGCACATGTGTGTGTGTGGACTGGGTGAGATGGGGAGGACGCAGATGAGATGTTCCCCAAGCCAGGAGGATTTCGTCCCCCTGCCATGGTCAACTTGCGCTGCAGGACAGATAGGGCGGTGAGGAGGCCAGCTGCCCGCGAATGCTGGGAGCGCTGCAGACAGTGCTGGGGAAGGCCCTCGCCAGTGCTGTCATCCAGGCTCACAGAGAAATGAACTTTAACTATGAAGCCCCTTCACACAGACGGCACACTGCTCCCTTGTAGCTGATCAAAGAATTACCACAACAGTGAGCTTAATCCCTAAAAGTCAGCAGTGGTGGGCTGAACTGATGCTGAACATTGTTTCAGAATCAAAGGCCTGCCTCCCGGCCCCAGTCTGGGAGAAAACTAAGCTACTGTATCACAGCTGAAAACTCAGGGGAACTTTGATATCATCTCTGTTTAATTTCCACGGCCCTAGTGAGCCTGGGGTTTATCTCGTTTTATCAACTCCAGTACTGAAATCAAAACCCAACTAACAACGCTCAGACCTCTCTCTCCACCGAGGCCCTTCCAGCGGCGGGATGTGGGCCGAGGAGTTTAAAGTGCTTTCAAGGGCCAGCGCTGCAGGGGGAAGGGGGTGCCGCCTTCAAAGGAGGTGTCTGGCCTCCCTGCCATCTCAGCCTCCCTGCCGAGCTAGGAAGGCCAGCTCAGAAGCGGCGCCAGGGTTGTGCGCCTGGGTCTAAGGCACGACTGCACAACTTTTGAGGAGAGTAATTTCAAAGTACTAAGGGAAGGGGGGGCAGGTTAAATTGGGCTCCTGTAATTGAAATGACAAAAATCAGTGGGTTAATTAAGTCCCTATAGAAGGATAAACCTGTAATCAGCTTGCTTGAAATCCAAAGTCAAGGGCACCAAAGACATAAACTGTCTGCCCAAATCTACCCACTTGCAGGGCTGGGGAAAGGAAAGAAATAAATATTTCAAATATTTCACTCACTATGGGATACAGCACAAGCATAGGATCGCCACTGGGACCAGGCTGTCCCCAGATTAAAGCTGCTGCTACAGTGGGTGTCGTGGGGAAGTGCCTCCCTGTTCCCCGTGGCAGCCCTTTCTACTGACAAAGCTCCAAGCAAGGCGCAGAAGGACACATCCCCATCCCAAAGGTGGGAGCACAGAAACACACAGCCAGCCACTTCTCTGCAGCAAAGGTGCAGAGACCCAGCTCCTCAGAG